TCAACTACATTTTAGCTATCTTTGTTACACAAATTTACACATTCCTGTAAATTCCTGGGCTCTTTCTCAGAAGGGAATTAACAATTTCCCAAGATCACAGATTCTGCCCCAGACATTGGGCTCACAGGAAGATAAGAAATAATGGTCAAATAGTCAAATAGACAAGTGAAAAAGCTCTAACCTAGACAGACCACTGTGAAAAATCCTGCAATTTTCTGTAACATTCCTGTCACTTGACAAGTAACACAAAGACCCCATAAAAATGAGCCATACTTAAGCTTAGTCCGATACTAAGTTCCTCCCTGCCTAGGGGATTTCTTTCTCTACTACTTTCCAATAAACTTTTCTACTTTCTAACTCTGAAACTCTGAGTATCTTTACTATTCAATATTTTCATTCTTGAAATATTGGATGAACACAGAGACTTGCCATCATGGTCCTGTATCACTTTTAGAAAAGGCAAGTGTGAGAGTGGCTTCTGGAACTTCTCCAAAATATTACACAATGAGTTTCCACAAGTGACAGGCCCCTGAACTATTTTCTAGAGAGAAGCTGATGTGAGAAAATGGAAAAGAGGAAAACAACAGAGTTCTAAGGAAGCAAAAAAACAACATCAAGGGGCTATAAGCTCTCAGGATTCAAGAATTCCCAAGTTGGCAATGTTAGGAGACACAGACTCTGTAGCATAGAATTTTCCAGAGACCATTCCCCCAGAGACAAAGGTGGGTATGTAGCTTTGTTTCTATGTTTTCTGAAAATTCTATAGATTTTAATACTTTGAGCTGCTAATAGTGCATCATTCCCCATCTAGCAGTCTCTAGACTGCTAGACTGTTTACGCTGCCTAAGAATACAGAATACTGCACCTAGTCAAACCTTGTGCAGGGGACCAGAGCGATACAGTGTGTAGGACACTTACCATGCATGTGGCCCACCCATGTTTGATCCCCAGCATCCCATATGATCCTTTCAGGAGTGATCCCCAAGTGAAGAGGCAGGAGTATCCCCTGGGCACTGCTTGTTGTTTTCTCCCACAAAACAAATTAATTTATTCAGAACCAAGTACAGAAACAGCTTCAGAAACAAGTTTAACCCTACTCTTTCGCCTCAATGAGATCCAGACTCAGACATGAAGGATGTCTCACTCCTTGCTGCCGATGACAGAAATCTGCTTGCCCTGTCCTGACAATCCAGAGAGGGAGGTTTGCCTTCCTTCCTCTATTCTGATTTTTATGTGGTATCTTGAGAAACCAGGGGCAGTGGAGGGTTAGGACCCAAAGAAAAGGGCTGGCATGAGGATTACAAGGCTATTTGAAAAACAGCTCAGAGATCTCTAGCCTAGAGATGTATGAACCAAGACTGGCAGACCCAAGTTCAAGTTCAGGCCCCTACTCCTCACTTCATCTTTAACTAGTTCTACTCCCTGCTTATTTTCTTCCCCCAAGAATCTTCCTTTTTTTCGTTGGTGCATTTTTGGGCCATGCCCAGCTGTAGTCAGGGCTTACTCCTAGTGGGTTTGGGGGTGCAATATATGGTACTTGGGATCAAATTTTGTTGGAAACATGCAAGGCAAGTGCCCTACCAATTGTACTATCTCACCAGTACCCAAGACAAATGTTTTCTTAAAATCTTTGGGGATTGTTAGTTAAAATGAGAACATTCTAGTCTGATCTTAGAGAGGTTAATGGAGAGTTAAGGGTCTCATCAAGGCATCCACATTTAAACAGGTATCCCAGAGATTTCAGATGTCAATTACACTCCATATCAGTATATGAGCAGCACAATGGATCATTAGGAAACAAGAGAAACAGAGGCGATGTGGGTCAGCAGAGGAGGGAGAAAAGTGCTCTCTCCAACCAAGGTCAACAAGATGTAAGGTGGGAGCTACTCAGGCCATACTTAGCCCACTGTGACAAAACCAAAATTCCAGGTGGAGGACAGGGCAGAGCAAGTGACTCATCTCCCAGCCTGATGGATAGCATTGGGTTATCCTCCTCCCGCAAGGAGTTTAAGGTTTATTGAGCCACTCCCACAACAGTGCGACTGAGGCTCACCCAATTCCATCAAGCACAAATAATCCTATATTGCTTTTCTCTTTTCTTTATGTCATTTGCATGATTTATTTAGCAATATTCCTTTTGTATAGACACAGGAAGACAGTTTATGCTATGCTGTGTAACATGGGAGTTAATTGACTCAAAAATAATATTTATTCCTGGGCCTCCATATTTACTTGACTTAAGCCTCAGTTGCCCTTACTTCCTAGCACTCCAAGAGCAGGGTCCTCACAAGGGACTGGATGGACCCAGGACAAGCTCTGAGCTACCCTGGCATCAAAATGGCCAGGCCAAGTGCCATAATACTTAACTATAATTTAAGAGCCCGGGCATGGAAAAACTGTCATGACCCATAAAGAAGTAATTGAATACGGACCCTGCTGGGATTAGGAAAGACTAACCTGCTTGAAAACTGTGGTCTGGAATATATAGCGAGATGCCCCCAGGAAAAGTCAACCTTTAAGCTTAATATATCTCTTACTGTGTTCATACAAAATGGCATTGCTTAGAAATATTATAAGAAGCAAATTTACTATTTAAATAGACTGTTTAAATAGATTAATAGCTGAGGAAAGGAAAAAAAATATACCCTAGACGGAATCCCACCGTAGAGCAGATCTAGTAATCTGGAGTAATCTCCTCAGATGAGATTTTGTCCTTGATTTAATCTCCTGAAGGAGTGGCTTCACATCTCTTTGTTGTTATGACAATGTTCAATCCCACCTTTGTATCCCCACCCTTCATAATTTGTATATAACTATGCTATAAGGGGTAAGAGGGCACAAAACGGGGAGGAGATATTGAAGACGTTGGGGACTAGACACTGGGGACTAAAAAGTTGATGATGAGAAATTGAAGACTGGAGGAGAAGAACTAAGACTTTGGGACTTAGGGAGTAGAAGGAGAACCAGATGACGACAATGACTGGAAGTAGAGGACTTTGAGATCTACTAGGAAACTAGGATGATGGAACTCTGATGACTGGGACTAGGACTATGACTATGACTGTGCCTTAAGGGGAGAGATCGGACTATACCAGGGAGGAGAAACAAACAGACTACCAACCAGCCTGGGGCCTAGTTCCTATTTCTCTATTACCCCAGTCCTTTGCTCATCCATCCAGCCTGGGGAGGTGGCTTTCGGCCACCAAATGCTCTCATCCCTGTTTGGCCCTGCACATCTTTTTCTGTTTGGAAATGTACACCAGCACATCCTCCAGTTTGTGCCTCACCCATCACCACAGGTCCCTCAGGAAACTCTGAGTCTAACATACTCCACCCTTTACTATTAATTTATTTTTTCTCATATTCTTCTACAAGTCTAACATTCCCCACCCCTTTGTGCTTTTTTCTCCTCATGTTTTCCTGTTTTAGGGAAGTTTGGAGAATGAGGTATTTTGTGAAATTTGAAGATAAGAACTATGCCTCTGGGAAGTCTGCCCAGCTCCCTAAGTCCCAGCAAGAAGGAAACTACATACCCCGGCCACCTCGGCAGAGCTGCCCCTTTCTGTTCTTGGCTCTTTCCAACAAGCAGGCTAGCATACTTAGCCCCAGGAAACCGAGACTGGTCTGTAGGAAACTGCTAGCAGAATTGGAACCCACTATTCCCGACTGCTAGCCTCAAATAGGGTGCCCTACTTTTTGGGTTTTTGCCTCATAAAAAGGATAAGGATATCAGTGTGTATTGAACACTTACTATTTGACAAGCTCTGTTTTATTTTTAAAGTTAAAGAACTTTGATTTATGAAGATATTGATAGTTGCGCTTGAGGTTTAACCCACTACATGATAGCATCGGCATCAACAGATCTTAAGAGTTTCTAACAGGTTGTAGCAAATTGCATGCATTCATCATTCCTTTCAGCTGCATAGTATTCCACCGTGCATATATTTCACATCTTCCTAATCAATTCATCTGTGATATGATCTGTTCTAAGTACTTCTGTATATACTCATTTAGTTTTTAATGCCACATCTATGGAACATTTTACAGACATGGACACATACAAGGAGGTCCTGAAACAACTATTCAGTTGCTGCCAGGCTAGAAAATGCTGCAGCTGACACTTCAGGTCAGCGTCACTATGCTACACTCTCCTATTACCTACTTAGCGAAGGGAAATATAAATTACCTGGATACATTTGTGCATAACAAATGCACACAAAAGTGGCAGAAATTATTGTTGCATTGGTTGCCTCACTTATTTTGTCTTCCAAATCAGGATTTTCAGCCTGAATGAGCTAGGGAAATACAGTGACTCTTGATCACAATGTCGTTCTCAAAACTGGCCTGGGGCTGAGCCTGAGACTAGGTCCCCAGCTTTCTTCTACTTGCATCAAAATATTAAACTCAGGATTACAGTTCTCATATGTCTGAATGCTTGACTGTTTGCTCTGAGTACATGTTGGTGGGGTTGCCTCTCCGCAGTCTCCAGGCGGGGGGCATGGCTTTTGGAAAGAACCCTGGGAATTGGCCACTCTAGGCAGAAGCTGTCTGCCTCCCATCAGAACACCAAGGAGCTCTATATTTAGTGTGCTTTCTCTCGCTTTTAACCTTGACATCTTCTAGAAGTTACCCTGTATAAAAGCAACCCTGCTATGGCTATAATTTACACATCATGTCACTTGCATAGAGCACAGTCCACCCCCTTCAACCCACTCCTGCAGAAGTACCTTGTGCCAGTCCTGGCAAAGGAGAGAAAATGGCTCCTGTTTCATTCTGACCACCATCCTTCCATCATTCATTCACCAGAAGAGAAAAGGTAAAATGCCCAATTGAGGAATGAAGGGGAGCGACTGAAGGAAACTTTAGCTAAATCCAAGCTGGGAACTTCCTGGATTCCAGGCTGAGTCTGGCTTTGCTTCTGTCTCCACATTGCCATGGCAACAGCTGCTGAAAGCCTTAGCTACTGGCCACCCAGTGAGAGCTTTGTGGGTGCCACTTACCGTGATGGTGCTTTCCTTGCTCTGCCTTTTGCTTGGTGATGACGTTCCCAGGTTCTGAGAAGAGAAGCAAGAAACATCATCAAAGCTGTTCTCCATATTGGACATATTTTCATTCGGATTCCCTGGAGGTGGGGGGAGTGGTTAGAATCCTGAGGCTGGGAAGTTCAGAGATGCTCAGGCTGCCTTTAACTCTTAAGTTACCATATTGTAAGAGAGGGCAGGCAGGAGTACCCCTAACTTTTGGCTGCTCCCAGGACTGAAGCCTGGACTAAATACTGGCTTGAAAGAAACAGCAGCCATGCCTGTCTCCAACTCTTCCTGCCTGGGATTTGGGAAGTTAACTCCTTAGCTGCTGGTAAAGGGATCTGAATTCTGCTTGCTGCCTGAATTTACACAATCTACCCAGAAACAGAGAGTTACATTTGATTACAGACTGCTCCCTGGAACTGAGAGTTCAGAACATGACATTTTATTCTAAATTCCCAGTGACTAAAATATCAAACCCTAAATGTGTGTGTGCATTCTGTGCTGGGGCACTTGACCACCTCTGTCACTTGCTGAACCATGAAAACTGAAGGGCATCCTCAGTCAGCTGTGTTCCAGCTTTCAAGCAGTTTTAGGAATGCCCCTTTATGTCTTCTTGATTCTGGCAAGAACAGAAAATTAAATTTTCTTACTGAAAATGAACTATTTGTTATTAAGAGCTAGGCAGGGTAGTTTCTTCTAGGTCACTGCAGTCCCACTGTTAGCACTTACAGGGAGATTCAATACCAAAGGCTCATGTAGAATGCACCATGTGACTCTTGTCTTCATCACACATGGCTGTGAAGCAGGCTCATCCTAGGGTGTTGTGGTGGTGATCTGGATATGTCCTGTGCCTATGGATTATTGTTTCCCTAGAGGAATGTAAAAGTGGCTTTGGTGCAGGCCGTGTGAAATCACTGAGAGGTTTCTCTAATGAGGCTCAAGGACATAAACAACTAGAAAAAAGAATGAAATGTCGATATATGCCACAACACGAATGGACCTTGAAACATTACTCAAATGAAGAAATCATACACAAAATACCATAAATATCTTGGTACCATCTAAATGTCAGAACTACAGGTACTGAAACTTAGTAGTTAAAGGAGAGCAACATACCACAGAGATATATCATCCCCCTGCATCAGGCTTTCTCATCACAGTCAGAAGTGGGGGCGGGGGTGAGTCCCTCTGCCTGCCCCAACAGAGCCCTGGAAGCTAGCTGATGTCCACAGGCTAAGAACGAGCCTCATCCATGAGATTGAATCTGCTGAAAAACTCAGGTATGCAGGGCATGTGACCAAAATCTTCAGATTTTCATGGAATCAGGAAGGGGTGACCTCCCCGCATCTCCCTGTTCTTCCAGGAGCCTGGGAGTCATGTCCACAAACTGCCTCTGGTGCCATATAAGCTCACTAACGGCCATGATCTAGAGACTCACAAATAAGTTTTGCGAGGGAAAGAGAGCAACATGGCATAGAGATGCCTCCATACCACAAAGTCACCATCCAGTTAAAATTTTAGGTCTAGGTATATCACCATATTTAAAATTTAGAATTCCTAGAGTGACATCTCATAATCTATCTCACTGGTGTACCAAGAGTAGCATACCACATTTGATGGGGTGTAGTGTAGAAGGCAACCTATTTCAATCAACAACAACAACAAACACACACATATACCTATATATCTCCACATATATGTATGGAGATATATAGACATATAGCTATATATCTCCATATATATATGCATCTATATTAGCACACAAGGGGCAACCTGTAACAACATGCTAATAATCTCTTATACAAGAGATTAATGGCTCCAGGGTGAGATACAACAATCTTCACACACTTTCCTCTAAGGAAACTATGGGATCATTTCTAGTGGATTATTCTTAACAAGCAGTACAAAATAACTTATTTAGTACATGCTTTTAGGGGAGGTTTGGGTGGTGGTGGGAAAATTCGCAATGATGGTGGTGGGATAGTTTAATGGTATTAGGATTGGTGTTGGAATATTGAATGTAATAAACTATTGTGAACAACTTTAAAAATAAAATGTATTCCAGATGGAGCAGGTACGCTCTCCCTGCCTACTCCAGATGGAATCCTGGTAACCAAGAGCTTCCACAAGTGAGGCCCAGGTATGCAGGTTCCAGGACTAAATCTCCAGGTTGCATGGTGGCAGAGGAGCTGGGCTGTCTCTCCCCAGATCCCTACCCGCTCATCAGCCTTGCTGGCATGCCCACAATCTGCCTTGGGGCGCCATCTTAGTGCACCAACAACCCTGGTCCAGAGACACCCGATTGAATTCCAAAATGGATTAGTGCCCCACAGAGATGTCTCTGGAACCCAACCATTTACAATCTAGAGTTCCAGAAGTGTGTGGCCATTTTTGCAGCCATGCGAGCTCTCATGATATTCAAAATGAGTAAAGGAAAATAAATTATCTGGCATCTGTCCCTGGCATGTAGGCTTGAATGATGGTGGGAAAATTCAAGCAAAACATAATACCCCAAAGTAGAGAGAGAGTATTGGGGAAACTGCCTATCATAAAGGCAGGTTGAGGACTGGGATGGGGGTGGAGTACTGAGGACACTGGAGGTGGAAAATGTGCACTGGTGAAGGGATGGGTGTTAGCTCATTGTATGGCTAAATTTCAAACATGAAAGCTCTATAACGCTATTTCACAGTGATTCAATGAAATAAAAAAAACATATTATAAAGAATATAGGTTAAAATTATTTCAGTGACATTTGTAGTAACTATCTGGAAGGAAAAAAAGTATATTCGTTATATATCTTAATTTGAAAAGATGGAGACTTGGAATTTTAATGGTTAGTTTTTCTTCACATTTATGATTAAAGTTCAGTGGTCTTGAATCATCTGTTATGTTATCAAAGAGACAGTGTTGAATTTTCCGAGGGGACAAGAAAAAAAGAGAAAAAAGAAACTTAGTAGTTACCTAAGACTGAGGGAGATTCTTTTTAGGTGATGAAAATGTTATGAAATTAATATCAATGATGATTTCATGACTCGGTGACTATACTAAAAATCAGTACCTTAAGCATTACGAATAGATGAATTATACACTGTGTGAATTGTTTCTTAATAAGGACGTCTAATAAGGATCCCAGAGAAAAACTAAAAATAAAGGTAACAACCAAAGTGTGAAACCTGAATAGATCCTGAACTGGAAATAATGATTTGGATATTGATAATATAATAACAAATATAATAAACTATATTATTTTATTAGCATTTTAGTCTTCTAATAGGATTCTTATTAGATATAGTGTGTGATGTCTTTCCCCCTTGAGATATGTTCCAAAATATTCAGCTAAAACAATGTGTCATGAACTTGTTTTAAAATCATCTAGTGATTAGCACTAAATTATTTACAACATTATTTTTTAAATTTATATACCTGTAAAAAGAATATAACTTTTGAAAAAAGTTTTTTCATGTGCAATTTTACGGAATGCTAGATTAGATCTACTAAAGACAAAAATGCATTCCATCACTAATAATCAGGGATATGCAAAATAAAGCAACAATGAGATATCATCTCATACCACAGGAACTGGCTCACAGGCACATGAGAAAATGCACTACATCATTAATCATCAGGGAGATGCAGATCAAAACAACAATGAGATATCATTTCATACCGTAAGACTGGCCCACATCCAAATGAACAAAAGCAACCAGTGTTGGCACAGATGTGACGAGAAAGGGACTCTCTTTCACTGCTGGTGGGAAGGCCGACTGGTTTAGCCCTTTTGGAAAATAGTGTGGACGATCCTCAAAAAATTAGAAATTGAGCTCCCATTTGACCCAGCAATACCACTCCTGGGAATATATCCCAGAGGGGCAAAAAAGTATAGTCGAAGTGACATCTGCACTTGTTTGTTCATTGCAGCACTCTTTACAATAGCCCCAATCTGGAAAAAACCTGAGTGCCCGAGAACAGATGACTGGTTAAAGAAACTTTGGTACATCTACACAATGGAGTACTACATAGCTGTTAGAAAGGATGAAGTCATGAAATTTACATACAACTGGTACTACATAGAAAGTATCATGCTAAGTGAAATGAGTCAGAAAGAGAGGGACAGACATAGAAAGATTGCATTCATCTGGGGAACATAAAGTAACAAAATTGGAGACTAACACCCAAGAATAGCCGAGATAAGTACCAAGAGGATTACTCCATGGCTTTGAGGACAGTCACACAGGCTAGGGGAAAGGGCAACTCAGATAGAGAAGGGAGCACCAAATAAAGGGTGTTGGGAGGTTCCTCTCAGGATGAGAAATGCATGATGAGAGTAGACTATAGACCAAACAAGATTGCCACTCAATGTCTCTTGCAAACCACAGCACTCAAAAGGAGAGATAACAAAAGGGAATGCCCTGCCACAGAGGTAGGGTGGGATGGGGATGGGGGAAGGGGGGTGGGAGGGATACTGGGACTGGTGGTGGTGGAGAATGGGCACTGGTGGAAGGATGGGTATTCGATCATTGTATAACTGAAACACAAGCACAAAAATTTGTAAGTCTAAAAAAAAAGAATAATAACAAGAACAACCAGTGCTGGTACAGTTGTGGGAAGAAAGGGACTCTCATTCATTTTTGGTGGGAATGCTGACTGGTCCAACCCTTTTGGAAAACAATATGGCCATTCTTCAAAAAACTAAAATTGAATTTCCATATGACCCAGTAATACCACTTCTGGGAATATACCTAGGGGCCTGAAAACACACAGAAGAAACATTATCTGCCCTTCTATGTTCATTGCAGCACGATTCACAATAGCCAGAATCTGGAAACAACATGAGTGCCTGAGAATGAATGATTGGATAAAGAAACTATGGTACATCTATACAATGGAATACCATGCAGTCACCAGTAAAAATGTAGACATAAAATTCTTATTAATGGATGGACATGGAAAGTATCACGCTGAGTAAAATGAGTTAGAAGGAGAGGGACAGACATAAATGACTACACTAATTTGTGGGATATAAAAAA